CACAAACAGAAAAAGAAATATTATTTTCAACACATACTATATTTCGAATTTCTACTATTGATCAAATTGAAAATGGATTATGGTTAATACAATTAAAATTAACAAATAATGAAAATGAACAATTAAAATATTTTAAACAATTATTACGAAATGATATTGAAAATAAAAATGAATCAGAACGATTCAATATATTAATGACTAAATTACAAATGATTAATGAATCAAAACCGATCAAGAAAATACAATCTACAGATATGGAATTCGAACAATCCGTTAAAAAAAATGTCTATCACGTGCAACCTGAGAAAACAAATCTATCGATAGTTAATGATGAAACTGAACAATCTACTGAAGAGAAAATCTCTCACGAGCAAATTCAGGAAACAAATCAATCGACGGCTAATAATGAAATCGAACAATCCGCTGAAGAAAACGTCTCTGTCGAATCAACTAAGAAAACAAATCAATTATCGGCTAATGATGAAACAGAATCTGAACATTCTCCTATCGTTACTGATATGATAGATGAGAAACCAATGAATCGACTACAGAAGGTTTCTGATGTATAATGTCATTCCAATTGTTTTTAAATGTTTTTCTGTTATTAATAATAATTTTCATTCAATTAATTAAGATGAGAATAACAAATAAAAAATACATTTTAAATTATATAGTACAACACTGATTATGAATAATAACATTACTAAAGAATTCTATGGTACTGATTGATATTATATTTTCACTTTTAAGATTTAATAGAAGCTAAACAATCAAGAAGTGCTTGCATTTTACAATTCAAAAAAAAAGTAGATAGATAGATTTAACCAACATTGATCAATTATATATTGTTCATAAATTGTTCGTATAAGGAAACATTCCTAACTATCAATTTCTTTTTGTTTGAGACTATTGCCATTCGGTTGCTCATGGTAAGTAGTAAGAGTCTGTTGACGTAATCTCTATAGAATCAATAGTTATTCTTTGAAGAGCTTATGAAAAAGAGCGAATTTATATCAAAAATTATTATCGTGTACGTGTTCCAACATAGTGAGTAACTGATTTACATGTGTCTATATTCATTACTAATTTCATGTAAAACAAGATAATTTAAATTGTTAGATCAAACTAACACTTGAGATCAATTGCGCATATTGAATTATTCAGCTTCTATCATATTCAAACTGATTCAACAAATCGATCAGATTTGTTTAAGTGAATATATGACATTTTCGGAAGAACTTCGAATCAACGATGAAGAGAGTTTAATAATCTAAACTAGTAAAACAGTTACTAGATACAAACAAAAATAGATAATCTAGTAAAATCGATAAATCGTTTTTTCTATCCTTATTTTTCTGATCGTTCATCCTGGAATTTTTTTAAGAAGCTTCATTGTAGCGAATTACGTTCTTTTTCTTTGCCAGAGCATATGAAACTGAAATGCTTGTTTGTTTTTTTTTAAATCTAAGTTTATTATTCTTATATAAAAAGACATTTCTATAAATAGACAATCATTTTTCAAGGTATTACACTTGTCATTCTTTTTCTTCACATAAAAAGTAGCAATTAAAAAAACAAAAAGAATTCTATCAGGCACTGCAGTTTGACATACTTTTACAAATGAAAAAAAAAAGAAACATTTAATAGAATGAAGTGTCATAGAAAACTTCAACTTGTCAAATGAGCTATTTGTAATTCTTGTTTATTAAATATCTTGCGAAAATTTCCTTTTTTTTTGCAATTCAAATATTATATATCAGGCGATAGAAATTGAATTATTGATGTAGAAAAGATATACGAAAGATTTATAACTTAAGAATGATAATCAATACTAATGAATATTTTCACATTCTTATTCTATGAATTATTTGAACTATGGCAGATAAAAATAATCTATATAATGCTTGATATCAACGTAGATGTCAAAAGAACACTGTTTTTTTTGTTTCTGCAATGTCAAACAATAAATTCAACACTCCTTATTTTGATATTCACCATAGATAATTTCAAAAATGTGCACAAAATATTTTTTTTAGTACTTAAACAACTCTATAACAAAATCAAAATATAATACTTTTCATTAATTAAAAACCTATTTGTATTGTGTTTCAAGACTATGCATATGTTTGTTTTTTTTTCATAGTTGAAAAGAAATAATAATAATAATAATACTTATATAATTGTTTTTCTATTCTAGATAGAATCGATTTGTATTATTTTAAAAATAAAGTATCATCAAATTTAAAAAACTAATTACTACGTCACAGAGATGGACAAAATCGCACCGCGCCTCCCCGCGCCGCTGCTCGCGCCTAGGCGTTACGTACATCTCTCTTTCTCTTTGCTCTACCAATCAGTTTCTCAAACTCCACCGAATACCGGGATGCTCTAAGCATGCGCTCATCAAAGCTCAGACTAGTGTAGCGTAGGCGTGAGCAGCGGCGCGGGGAGGCGCGGTGCGATTTTGTCCATCTCTGCTACGTCACTTACAATTTTCTAAATATCAAAACAGAAATAGTTGCATATATAACGAAAGTATTCTAATTATGTTACTCAAAAACAAAGTAATTCAGAAACGCATGTCTTTCGACTTATCATTCTAAACAGAAGTACTCAAACAGAATAGATGAATTGAAAATTTTTTATTATATAATCTATGTTTATTTAACAAAAATTTTTACAAACATTAAATTAAATTTAGAATATTATAAAAAATATAATCAAAAAAAAAATTAATTAGGTTTATAGAAACATATTGTAACAAATTTTTGTTTATATCGAATAGTTGTACTTAATATCATAATACCATTCTAAAAAAAATATTGATTGATAAAACAAAAAAAGTTAAGAAAATAAATCATTACTTGAATTGATAAAGCATATAAATGTCGAAGCATGACAGTATTTGGTTCGGGAAGTATATCAGGATCACACTAAAAATTAACAATATATATATATATTTACATAGTATTTATATAGATTAAGAAAAATCAAACATGATCAGGCAATTTTTGATTAAGAATAATATTGAGTAGATGAGGTGGTATATGAGGTGGAGATGATTGATCATTTTTTATAAATTGATTATTTATTTCTTTTGTCCATATATTTAATTTATGAAAAGATGTAATTGTTCGTTCAAAATAATTATTTATATTTTGATCATTTACATTTATATAAAGAAAATGTACACGACCAAATTTAATATGACATTCAATTGTCTTAAACACATAAGAAATATAAATTTTTCAATATTAGAATATATTAAAATAAATTTAAATATACTTCATTTGGTATAAAACGTGGTCGTCCATTAACTAAAATTTTATAATAATGACAACCATGTTGTATTTGAATACATAATTTAAATTCACCATTTCTATAATTTTTAATTATAAAGAATATTAAAAACAAAAAAAAAACGTATATAACATTATTAACATACGTTTTAGTCATTTTATGTTCAATCCAATCTGTAAATGTACCAGTTACACTTGCATATGTATCAAAAGGTAAAACAGGTATTGAAAAAGTAATTAATGTAGAATCAATAGAATGCATTATAATATTTAATTCATCAAGTGGTGGTGCACTTTTTGTTGAAATCTAATGAAAAGATTAAAATTTCTTAAAAGAAAAATATTTATTTGAAATTAATAAATACACGTCGTTCTCTCTGTTGAATTGTAACTAAACGTTCATCATCACTATCATGTTTATTAAAACCAACACATTCACTTGGACGATGTTGACGTTTTGTATTTGTTTGATGATTTCCCATCGTTTATTCACCGTCTTTATTCTGATTCTTTTACTATGTTTTCTATAATATGTATATATTTCTAATGTTATACAAAATTTATTTATGAAAAAAAGAAACGTGATGATATGTATAAGTGTATGAACTTAGTCTATCATTCGTATGTTCTTTTTTAATGAAAGTATTTTTGGAATGTTTATTTTACGTAGTTTTAATTTCAAAATTATAAACAACATCATACGATGTTTTTATCTTTGTTATATAGAATTTAATTATTAATAAATGCTGAAATGATTGAATAAAAACAAAAAACAAAAAAACATATTCTGATTTATATCATACTATGTAAAGAGAACAATAAAACCATTAATTTGATAATGATCTATTCATGATTTGATGCTTTAAATATCCATAGAGAAGAAATATTACTATTCAGTTTTTTGATTTTAGTGTCTGTTCAAACCATTGGAACTATTGTCATTGAGATTCATATACATCAGTTTTTGTCGATGCATTATGCGTTGAAAAATTTTGTAATTCGACAACATCTAATCAAACGACTTGCTTTGAATTTAATACAACAGAATGTTTCGTTTTTGATTCTACTGGAAACGTTGATCATGTTTATACTATTTTTTAACATTTAGAACTTTTATTTTATTAATAACTACTGCTATTTGGAACATTAAGAACAAGTGACTTTTTCTTGTAACTAAATATTAATAAATATAGATGATAAAAATCAGATAAATCTTCTTTTTCCTCTATGATAGAAAAGACACCAAACTGATCCTTTTTTTTTCCGCATTTGATTCATCCATAATAAAATAATTTCATCTGTGTATATGAGATATCCTTTATAAATATACAATGAAGTATCATATTTAATAAAACGTTTGATAAAAAGAAAAATTTAAATATCAAAACAAAAAAAAAAATTGCTTATCCAATGGAATGACAATATTATCTTTCGTAAGTAACAATATATTAGGTTCGGATTTATTGATTGAAACAAAATTCGGCTTCTTAATAGAATGAATCATGTTAGTCTTCATCATCTATACTATTATTCAAAAACATGTTATTTGTTATCATTAAAAATTGGGCGGAATATTGTAGTGGAATCAAATTACCAACAAAAAAAAGTAGTAAGCTATAAGAAAAAAAAAATTAAAATATATATATACCCATTTGCAGTTATTGACTTCAATCACTCAGTAGCATTTGACGTTTTAATACAATGCGTGTCTTGACTGCATTGATAATTTTCCTTCTGGTTCTACAAGGAATATTCGCTGACAATTGTGAATGTAGTTGTTGTACATCAGCTAATTGTGAACCTCAAGTAGTAGGATCTTTTTATACATGGTATTGTGACCCTCAAACATGTGTATCACAACATTGTATTGATCGTTATCATGCTCAATGTCCACCAGGTGGTGCTAATGGAAAAATAACAACAAGATGTAGTGGTACTGAACGATTACTATCACCATTATTTATTATAATTGGTATTACTTCTATTATTTTAATGATTAAAAACAAGTTTTAACATAAGACACATAACTCGAGATTTTATTTTCATGTGCGTATTCGTCTAATTCAGTTTTTTTTTTCGTTTATAAATAAATAAAAGTTAATTATTAAGCGAAGATTTTATTCATAATTATTATAATTAATTTTTACATATTTCATATAGAATTTAATCAAAGAATGACAAATAAATATTGAAATTTATCATAATCTAATATAGTTTGAAATTTATTTTAGATAAAAAGTAAAAAAAAAATAAATAAAAATGTCCCCTTAATGATGACGTTTTTAGTTTCATAGCATCATAGTTTTAATAATTACGAGATTAAATTTCAATTTAGAATATTTAATATTGATTGAGGATAAAAAAAAAAATCAGATTTTTTTGTTTTTAAAATGTAATTCAAGATAACATATAGGAATATGACACTGAAAAGAAAAATGAAAATCAAGATGTAAGAAAAAAAAAAAAAAAACTTGCTACGAGTTAGAACAACGGATAAACAATTTTTTTATAAGTGGGTGGAAAGGCTGTAATTATTTTTTTTCTTCCATTTTACAATTCTCTTTTCTTTTTTTTTAACAAAAAAAGAAAGATTTTTTGTTAGAAACAAAAATGAAAATTTTTGTTATTGCATCATCGGAATTAAGATTTTATGAAAAATGATTTATTTTCATCACTTAAATTTTTTCAAATTTAATCCTTTAATAATCGACCACGCATATATGCGTCATGAACTCTATATTGTCACATGAAACTAATAATAATTACTCCTAAGACATTGGAATAAAAGCAAATGTCACATAGAAAATGTTATCATATTATTGTGAGACTCATATGTTAAGCGTTTGACAACGGAGATTGTTCTTGAAAAGCTTTTGTTGGTTTTTTTTTGAAAAAACTGAAATGAGATGTATATGTGGAAAAACACAGTGGATTTCGTGAACAATTATCAAACTTCATAAGATTCTAAGATTGTACAAACAAATAAGATAGTGCTGAATCTTATGGAATCTTTTGGTTGGTTCCATAGACAACTTTACAATCTTATATCATAATATAGATTTTTATAAAATCTAATATCTGATTATCTGTAATATTAGGGGTTTAGTAAAAGTCGAAGTGTCATCGAACAATAATGGCTGTTGAATTGTATGCATGTTTACGAAATTCTGTTTAGCTTCATGTCCTTCTAAAAAATTTTAAATGTAGAGATTTTATCGATTCAGAACTACTTTTGGATCCAAAATTCTCTTGTTTTACTAAGATATGCATGTCACAAAAATGTTTTTAGTTCTATTCTATGTATGTGTATCTGTTGTCGTTAACTAAGCGATTAATACGATAATTAGGATTTATTTTGATCTTTTATGTAACTAAATAAAGACTTTGGAATAGAAAACAATATGAAAAATGGACGTTTCCGAAAATCGTTTTGTTCTATATACATATGTATTCTTCGAATCTTGCTCTTTCAAACTAAAAAATATCGAAATCTATTTGATGTTACATCATTGAGAAATAGATTTCGACAATATTGCAAAGATTTTTGCATTTTTTTCTTAGTTAAAAATTAAAAAAAAACAAATATCCATCAACAAAAATTAGACAAGTTAATTAATTATTCATTAAATTATAACTCAATGATCACAATAATAATTCTTTGTGATTAATTATTGTCGAAAACACTATTATTGATTATTATCTTACAATATAGAACTATTATTATCTTCTCCTTTTGAATATTGACGTTTTTCATCATTTTTTTTCAAACACGAAAAATGAAATCATAATAGAAAGCTTAAAAGCATTATGGAAACGAGAGACGGGGGAAGGAGAAAAGTTACTTCCGCAGAAACTAATGTGCGATTCGAGACCTATCTAATCCATTCTGATATTACCAAATATTTAGATAATTGCTCAAATATTTTTCGAGCTAGATTAATAATCATCGAAGCTTTGTAAGATTCTATTTAGGTATACTACAGTCATTCTTGAAACCATATATATTGACTTACTTTGATTTCTTTTTATTAATTAACTAAAAATGACTACAGTCAATTCGGTAAATACCTATTACAACTTATCTTATACCTTTTATTATGAATGTATCAATGAATATTATTGTCTCATTGATTGATATGATAACGGTTAACAATCATTTTTGTCATCTATAATAGAATATTAAATCTATCACTACTAGTATCTCATAAATAGCTTATCAACATCGTTCTCATCAATTACAATCTCTACAGAATCAATATGTGAAACATGATGTAGGTCACTGTTGATAATCACACTGATATTGTTTTATTCTGTCTCTTTTGAGACATATTTCTTAAAACTATCCTTTTCCTTAATCTTTCAAAAGTGCAATAAGTAAATAGTTCATATATTATATTGAGACGTCATTAATATACAATCTTTGACCATATATCAATAGCGACTGTTATAGAATGTGACACGAACGACGGGAATATGGCGAAAGTGTCTGTCACATCTGTAATGTGTCGTTGTTAAAAGATCTGTCATGTGTATCTGTTAATTCTGCCTATCATTAGTCTGTGACACTTCTAAAATAATATCTGTTATGGTATATGATTCAGAAAGAGGGATGTAAATAACTATTCTATGTAGTTTAGCATTTCTTTTAGAATGTATTCAACAAAAATTGTATATCAAATTATTAATAATTTTATTTTATTTAAAGTTTAGATAATGAATTATAATTATCAATAATAAATAAAAGTGATGAACATTGTATAGCTTTTGTATGTTCATTACCAAATGTAGTTTGAACAATCCGTTGTGCTTCTAAATAATATGTTTTTGCTTCTTCTAATTTTGATTGTTTTTCATTTTGATTTTTTTGTTTTTCTTGATCAATTTCAACAACAAATTTCATACATATATCACCTAAATTTGAATAAACATCACATACTTCAATATGATTTGCACCAAGACTATTTAAAAGAATTTGTAATGCTTGTTTTAAATGTATATATGCTATTTTATAATCATTTATCATTGCATATGCAAGACCAAGAGAATTAAGAAACATTCCATATTTATAATGTTTATCATCAAATTCTCTTTTAATAATAATCAAAGCTCGATTTATATAATCAATTGCTTGTTTATAATTACCTAAAGAAAAGAAAAGAATATAATCATTTATTAATCAAACTTCTATTGAAAATAAATTTTTGACAATAACTAACCAAGTTGATGTTGAACTTGTCCAATATTATGTAAAATTTCTGCTGCTTCTGAATGTTGTAAACCAAGTGTTTTTTCAATAGCAGTTAATGCACGTTGATAAAGTTGTAACGCATTATCAAATTTATTACGTTTTCGATCAAGATCAGCTAAATTATTATAATAAATACCTAGTTTATAATGTTCTTGATCACGACCAAATGTATCATAGACTATTTCAATAGCACGTTTATAATATTTTTCGGCGCCATCATAATCAGCTCGTTTCTTTAAAACTAAACCCATAGAATTAAGTACTTCAGCTACTTCTATATGATTTTTTCCATATGATTGTTCTAAACAAGTTAAAGCTTCTTTATAAGTTGCTTCAGCTGTTTTGAAATCACCTTGCTAAAACACAAGAGATTTAAAAAAAACAAAAAACAAAAAGAAGAAGAATAACATCAAAATTTTTCTTATACTTTTCGATAAATATCACCAACATTGGTAAGATAAATTCCAATAGTTGCATGTTCTTGTCCATAATAATGTTTTGAAAATTTTAATGCTTGTTTAAGATAATCTAAAGCTTCCATATATTTTCCTTCTTTTTTAAGTAATAAAGCAAGATTATTCATAATATCAGCTATTGTTGGATGATTTTGTCCATAGAGTGATTCAGCTTGTTTAAGAGCTTTTAAATAAAGTTCTCTTGCTTCATTATAATTACCTTTTTTACGATGAATATCTATAGATTTAAAAAAAAACAAAAAACATTCCAACTAAATATATATATAAACAGAAACAAAATATTTACCAGCAAGATTTGAAATAATGTCAGACCATAAATTTGAATTTGTATCAACAATTTTAAGTGCTTCATTATACATTGATATTGCTTGATCATACTTAAATGCAAGATAACAAAAAAAAAAAAACGCAATTAGAAAAATATTTTTTTTATTACATCAGAACATTTTTTAGCAATTAATCCGAGAGCATTAAGAAGTTCAACTTTTGTTTGTGATTCATCATCTGTTCGTAAAAGATCTAATGCTTGTTGAAAAATATCTTTAGCTTGTTCATATTGAGCTTTTTTTAATAATAAATATCCTTTCGATGAAAGTAATTCAATACGTTGTGAAATTGTTTTAGATAAAGAATATGCTTTTGTATATAATTCTAAAGCTTTATCATATTGATTTGTATCTTGTTCGATTTGTGCTTGAAGTATAAGAATTTCTTGTAAATTATTTTGTTCTTTAATCATTTGTAAACATTCTTTTGCATTATCATAATCATGTTCTATATGAAATAATTTTGCTAAATCAAATAAAACATTATCAGTTAAATGTGTTTTTCCTTCTTTATATTTTAAAAATAAAGTTCGTGATTCTTCTAATCTTAATTGATGTTTATTAGCAAGTTTTTCAGGTGAATATGAACATAAACGTTTATGTTTTAATAAATCATATCGTGCAATTTTTACTGTACAACCTTGTAATGCATAAGGACATGAAAATTGAAGATTATCAACAAAACGTTGTACAACAAAATTTTTCAATAAATTTTGTTCAGACAATGTTGTTGATCGACATCGTGGACAATTTTTTGTCGGTTTCTTTAACCATGATTGAATACATGAGTAACAAAATAATTGATGACAACAAGGAGTTTCACGTACATCAGTAAGGTAATCACAACAAATACAACATTCAATCAATCGCTGAATTTCACTTTCTTTTGCCGTCATTGCAATCGTGCCACAAGAAGTACAATACAAGGCGAAACGACAAAAAAAAATAGAATTATTGAGAATGAGTGCACTTTAATTTTTTTTTTCTCCTTCTGTTTATATTATTTCTCATTTCTTGTTTTTTCTTTTTGTAATATTTTTAATGGAGTCCATGAATTTTAAAGAACAATTTTCATCACATAATTTATTCAAATAACTACATGATAAATTTCATATTTTTACTCAAAGTGTCAAACTAATTGCCAACTTTTTCTTTCTATAGTTTGTCGAAAGGCAATTGATAAATAAGCAGAAAAAAAAATGCGAATGTCAGTCAATACATAATATGAAAAAAGAAGAAAAAACAAAAAAAGAAAAAAAGCAATGAGATCATATGATTGAATATATTAGTTGTCAAATCTTATTTTACATTTATTTATAATTAGATTTATGCGTATATATACAAATGACCTATTAAAAATCTTTTACTTTTAAATATATACAAAAAAAAAGAAAAAGAAAAGAAATAATAGCAATAGAGATAATGATTTCTAGTAAATATGTTCTAAGAATATAATTATAAATGTTGATGATTGTCTATATGATGGTCTTTTTAAAGCCTTCTTAACATATGAAATGAATGCGTGCATTTTTAACAAGCACAAAAAAAAATTTTTCTTTTTTTTTTTTTATTCTCTTTTTCAAACAATGTGCACAAGTATGTTAATCTTTTCGATAAAGCTACTGAACATTTTATTTCGTTTATCCCTCATTTTTGTATTTGATGATGATGATGATGATGAGCCTCCTCCTTTTCTTTTTTTTTTTTTCTATATGTACATTAAAACGCAACTACTTAACATTTCTATGTTCGTAAAAGATTAAAGAAAAATAAATCGTTCAATAGATTTTATTTCATGAATAAAGTAAGTTACTGATGACATTTATATAGATATTAATAGTAGATATCATGATAAAATATAGAATATAATTTCTTTTCTACGTGTGTATTGTATATATCAATTTATAAAGCCTTATATCAACATTATTAACGTTTTATACATGCAGCATATACTGTTGGATTATAGTTCGTGTGGGTGTTCGTTTTGTCTAAAAATAAGAACAATAACTATATAGTTATAATTATATTATTATAGCGTTTAGTCATAGTTTAATACGAAATACAGTAGCATGATATATGTTTTTTTTTTTTTCTTTTTGTTTTCTTATAATACTTATAAAAAGATAAGATAAATGTTGAAAGCTCTATTATATTTGATTCAATATCTTAATTGTTCTAATAAAACAAAAAAAGAAAAATTTTATTTAATAAATAAGAATAAATTGATTATCTTTGATCTCTTGACTGATTTATACGTTTTTATGAGTTTATTCTCTTCTTTTTTTTTTATATCAATCTTTTTTGTATTATTATGATGAAGAATTATATATATATATATATCGTGCTCTTTTTTTTTCTTATTCGTTCTATCAACATTATTGTCAATCTCATTGTAATATCATAATCATAAATGTCTATATGTATGTATGTATGACGAGTATGCTTATAGTTGCTTTTATAAATTTACTTGCTTTTAGAATCAAGACATATGATCGTAAACAATTTTTCTTATTGTCATAATTAAAAAGTTCTGAGTATAATAATTATATACAGACTACGATTATCTATTGTATATGTTGATTAATCTTCCTTCGTCTTCTTCTTCTTTTTTTTTTTGTTTTTTCTTTTCTTTTTCTAATGCCATCTTCTTATTACTTTCGAAAAGAAATACATTTATGTATCAATATTTTAATCGAAAACAAACTTGCTTGCGTTGTTTGAGACAGAGAATCGATATTATTGTTACTTTGCATTCATCCATTTTGTATGCTTATTCTAGAGACCATAATGCGCAATCAAAATAATATGTGTATAGATATAGAACATTGATAAAGAAAAGAGAAAGAGAAAGAGTCAACAATGTTTTTATTGAATATAATTTATGCATTAGGAAGAAGATAGATTTGGGTATATATATATATATATAAATATATATATATATATAACGTTATAGAAGTGCGGTGCAAACATTTACTCTGATCAGAATGCATATGTAAGTATTTGGTTGAAATATAGAATAAATGAAATTATGATTAAAATGAATATTTTATTTTTCAAAAAAAAAAAAAAAAAACGAGTTTTGCTTTTATAACATAATTTCGCATGAATTTATTAATTGTCGAAATACAATTTTTAACAGAACGCAAAAACAAATTTCATTCATCATTGAATCATCTTTCAAAAAAAAAAACAAAATTACCAACACTTCACTTTTAATATTCTACCTATATATAAACAAAAACTTTTTTCAATTTTAAATTACTACTTAACGCGTATTGGATTGATACATATATATATATATATAAATAACGTAAACAGAAAAAAAAACGAGATCAGCTGTTCTTTTATTGTTTTTTTGAATCTAATAATCAATCATCGCGCGTCGATCATGATTTTACTTTTCTTTATTTTAGAATGTCAAATAATCTTAATTCTGAATTAAATCAACTACAATTACAATTAACAGCTATTGAAGAACAACAACGTTTACAAAAATTTATGATTAAACAATTTCAACAACAATTACAATCTTATCAACAAAAGCATGATGGTAAAAAAAAAACAAAAAAAAAAAATATTCATTTTTATTTAAATTAAATATTCATTTATTTTAAAAGTTACACCATCTGATGAAGAAGATTTTAATTCACCACTTGATTTATCATCAACATCAGCTAAATCTGATGAAGAACAATCAACATCATTAATAGAATTTCAAATGGAATCACATGAAGGTGAACCAGAAAATCCACATATGTCTAAAGTTTGTTTTCTTTAAATTTATCAAAACTAAATAATTATTCAGAAAAAAAAAAAAAACTAATAATAAAAAAATTACTATTTAGCTTAAAGAAATGATCGAAAAACTTGAACGTACAACAAATAAAAATGATTCAAATGAATGTGTAGTTTGTAAACGTATATTATCATGTCAAAGTGCACTTAAAATGCACTATCGTACACATACAGGTGAACGTCCATTTCGATGTCGAATATGTTTACGAGCATTTTCAACAAAAGGAAATCTTAAAACACATATGAATATTCATCGTTTAAATGATAATAATAATAATGATTCATTAGTAGAAGATAATTTAACAATAACTGAAACTGATGATGAATCACAGGTTTTTGTTTTTTGAAAAATTTTATTTTTCATTTAAATTTAAAAAGTAAAAATCTTTTTTTTTTATTGTTTAGCATAATGATGATGATGATCAACAAATAGCTAATATACAATCATTTTCATTATTTAATCCACAATTTTTTCCATTTTTAGCTGCAGCAGCAGCATTTAATCAAAAGAAAAATTTAAATTCATTAATATATGATGAAAAAAAAGATAATGATGATATTAATCAAATACGACGTTCATCATCAATTTCACAACATATTTGTAATATTTGTTCAAAATGTTTTTCATCAGCTTCAGCTTTACAAATACATAATCGAACACATACTGGTGAAAAACCATATAAATGTGAAGTAAGATAAAGATTTTTAATTCAGAAAAAAAACAAAATTTTTCTTTTTTTTTTCACATAAATAGATGTGTGGTCGAGCATTTACAACAAAAGGAAATTTAAAAGTTCATGCTAGTACACATATCTATCGTACAAATTCAACAATAATTAATAATGAAGGAAAAATACGTCAACAACAACAACGACGTTATGATTATCATCCATATTCGTCAACAATTAAAAGTCAATCTTGAGAGAATATTATATTTCATGTTGGTCTTTCATAATGTATTCAGTGGGTAGTGAAATGATTCAATAAGATTTGTTTTCAATGTTCTTTTTTTTTCTTTTTCATTGATTTAAGAGTATCTTATTCTCTTTTGGAATATTTTTGGTTCTTTGCAATAATACAACCAATCGAGCTCAGATTTTTACTATGAATAAAATTATTGTAAATGATGGGACATATGTTTTTAGATTTTTGAAAAATATCTATAAGACTTTAGCTGAGATATCTGTAGAAAAATGTAAGACTCGAGTGATTTTGAAGATCTGTTTGGAAAATTTTTGTTTTCTGCGAACATCGATCTCATCATTGTTGATAATCTAACTGTGACAAAGATATTAGCCTGATTGGTTGTACTGTCGAGAAGAATGAAAAATAGTCCAAAAGAGTGAGACAAACTTAACCACTAGACGAAACTCAAACATTGATTCGAGAAGAGAACATTGTTTTCAATAAAAATAAAACGAAATAAAAGTTAATATTGGATTTCTAGAAATCAGGTTTCCGTACAACCAAAATCTCTAGTTTTTCAGCATTCTAGAACACATAAAAATAATTTGTTTTAGTCTACTAATAATGATAGAGAAAACTATGCATTACAAAATGAAACATCTTCGAATTCTCTATAACTTTCTGTAGCTGACGAACGAACATACCCAATTGTTGAACATCGTTCAATTTCATATTTTTGACTACGACTAGTACTGACGAAAGTTAGATATTCTATTTTCAAAAAAGTAATGCATTATTATAGAAGAGTACAAGATTCAAGTCTATTTTGAAATGAAGTATTCAATGTGTCTATAGGTCAAAATTCAGGTGGAAACTATTTCGAATTATTCCACAATGCCTGAGATGCAGTAGGAATTTCATTAAAATAACCATTAGTAGGTCACGACAGTTGGATACGCTTCCTCGTAAGATTAAATTTGTTTTCCGTACTATTTTCTGGAAAAAAGTCATTTTTGAATTTTCAATCATTTTTTTGTATCTCACCGAAAATTCTATCATTCTAAGTAGTCTAAACAAAATTATCCTGATGCATTGTAAGTGTTGGAAATTGTATTTCGTTATACTGTTTTCGAAAAAAAAATTTTTTCTATACTCGAATCAAAATTTTGTTTGTTTCTACTGTTTAAGTAAATGGAAAAAGTTGCAAAAAAAAGGTTTTTTGAATCATTTTGCTACTCACTGTATAATTATATAAAATAACTATGTTATAGAATGATGAAAATCCATTCCTATTCATGTTTGTTTATTTTTCACTCAGGCTTTTTTTGTTTTTTTGCATGTGTACAGGAGTTAACTTTTTGTTTTGTTTTTTCGTCTAATCGTGAAAGAAATGGCATAATTGTTACTGTTGATATTTTTGTTTTTTTTTTGATTAGTATCGGATTAATAGAATTACACAAAGAAAAAAAAAAGAAAACATGTTCTATTGATAAATGGATAGCTTCTTTTTTTTTTATGACAAGATAATATTACATTAGACTTGATGGATTGTGTTTTTTTTTTAGAAGTAAAAATAATCGATGATAACTCTATCAAGGCTTGTAAAAATATTATATGATATTTTGATAGGTAATTAACTTAGAATTTATTAACAATTCTTTTCGAATCTTGTTTGAAATTAATTATAAAAAAAAATTTTTTTTTTTTTTATAAATCATAGAAACAAACTATTATTTTACTATGTTACAAGATCATAATATTATATTTTTTTTCTATATATTATCGATTCCTTATCATGTTGATTGTCTTTTTCAATAGATTTATGTATATAGATATTATTGTAAAATTTATTACTATATATTTACTACGTCTTATCTCATCATACTCAATTTTATTTCTTATGAAAACTCGAAATACATGTTAAATTTCATTTTAAAAATAATACCAAAAAAATTGATTTTTTTTTTGTTTTTTCTCCAAACAAATCTTCAACTTTAGTAAAAATCATTATCAAATTCTCTATGTTTATGCATCATCGATGAAAATTTTTTTAATAATTTTGATAGAAACAAGATAGAGAGCTACGGTTTTTGTTTTTGTTTCTTTAAGACAAACCGTCAAATGAAAGATTTACAAAATTATACAAGCAACAGATCTTTAGATTTATCTGCTTTCTATTTTTAAAATAAATTCAAATAATATTGTAGGAAAATCTATAAAATAAGATTCAATAGTGAAAATCACAGTTCTCTATCTTAATGCTATCAAAAAATACTAACCCCGTTTTTTTTTTAAAGTGGGTATTAGATGATCATGATAAATAACAATCAATGATATGCATAAAGAATTTGATAAAGACTTTTACGAAGTTCAAAAATTTATTCGAATATTTTGTATGCATAGTAATTCATATAGAATAATACTGCAAATGTCATGATCATTTTATGAATACATATAATTTTATTATTGATTAAGATTGAAATAGAAGAGAAATAAGTTTTTATTCATAAAAACCAAATTCTTTAACAGTGTACAAAAAAAAAAAGAAGTTAACAATAACAGTTAGAATTGAAATCTTTTCAATACCAAAAAAATTATTTGTAATGTTTTAATTTATAAATTTTAAATCATTTAGAATTTTTAGTGTAACTTTATAAATCGAATTATGTGGCTACCAGAGATGGACAAAATCGCACCGCGCCTCCCCGCGCCACTGCTCGCGCCTAGGCGCTACGCACATCTCTCTTTCTCTTTGCTCTACCAATCAGTTTCTCAAACTCCACCGAATACCGGGATGCTCTAAGCATGCGCTCATCGAAGCTCAGACTAGTGTAGCGTAGGCGTGAGCAACGGCGCGGGGAGGCGCGGTGCGACTTTGTCCATCTCTGGTGGCTACTTGACAAGTTTCATAATCAAAAAAAACGAAATACGTTAGAATATCATATAAATCATTTTGATTTTAAAAATTTATTCTTTTTGCTTTCTTTTCAGAAGAATATAATAAAACAAGTGTTTTGTAATGTAATAGTAAAAGATTTAAATGATCGAAAGTCTATAAAAAAAAATGATGTATATTGTTGTTTTTTTTGCGTCATAAAAAAAAGAAGCCTAATTCTTTGAATTACAATTGAAAATGTTACTTTGTCGATAAACTTGATCTTTACGAATAAAAACTTATTTGTAGTGTTCGATTTCTAATAGAGAAATAAACAAGTTTTTACTTAAAATTTGATCAATAGCTGAATTATATTTATTTATAAAATGATCATGACTTTTGAAATGCTCTATAGATTTTGAATTGATTTTTAGAAAAATTTCATTTAACATTTATTGCTTTTTTCTTTATGTTCTATAAAACAATAAACCATTTTATCAATGCTTTCTTTTTCTTTTTTAATCTTTTCTATGCTATCAGGATAAATGATAATACAAAAAATGAAAACAGAAAGCATCACAAAGGAACTACAATATAGACATAAATGTGAAAGTAGTAAAAGAGGGAAGACAAGAGAAGAAAAAAAAATCATTGCCAATTGACTAAAGCACACAAATAGAAGTTTTTGATTATTAGCTTTTGAATAAAAACTAAGATAAGGGTTACACAATTGACTTAGGATGAATACCAAAATGAAGAGAGAGAGAGAAAAAAAAGAAAAAAATCTATTAGTTCATTTTTAACGAAGCATAATCATTGTTATTGCCACAATAATAATTGATGAAAGAATCGTCATTATTTTGTATTGTCGATTAAAATTTGGTGCATGATTGCAAAGATCCGTATTACATGAACAAACATTCGCCTAATACATTTTAAATTAATTAACATTAAAAAAAAAACAATTATTATCTTACATTATTAACTCCAGCAGTTTTATAACAAGTTTTTGCTGATGCTTTTGAACCACATGCTCGTACGATACTTTTAATATCATTAACTATATCAAAAGAAAAAAAAATAAAATCTAATCTAATTTTATTTTATTTATTACTTGTTTGACTTATTGTACGACAATGCGGTTCAATTGTTTCTTTACATTCTTGTTCAAATGTACTTAATTGAGTTCCATTTGTACATTGAGGATTGTCATTTGAATTACATACATAACATCTTAAACTTGTTATTGATGGAACTAAAAATTATAAATAATAAATAGATGAATTTTTTTGTAAAATTTTCAATACTTACTTAATGCAATGAGAAGAATATATGTTAAGTGCATGTTCGATTGTTTTTAAAGCTCTACAAATAGTTCTTTATTAATACAAAGTAAAAGAAACGAAAAAAAAAAAAAGAAATACAAGTGAGAATAGATAAAGAAAAAAAAACACACTCAGAATAATACAGAGGAATGAAAAGAAGATATTTGATCTGATGAGTTTCCATATTGGTATTAATATCTGCGAACATTTTTCTTTTCTTTCTATTGCTCAAGGTCATATGAATTAGATTTAAGAATATATAATTAATCAATAATATTTAAAATAAATTTAATTTTTTAAATAAAAAAAAAAAAGAATAGAATTATTTTTTTTTTATTTTAATTCTTGAGAGGTTCTCTCTTCTACTTTAACAATCCACCATCACTATCTGAGTCATATTAACATATCTAGTGGACATATTTATTATTTTAACTTAAAAATAATATGGCCTTTGGGCATTTCTATATCATATAAAATGTTTATCAATGGGTATCATCATCAGTCTTTGCTGTCCTTGTTGTCACAAAACAGTGAAGAAATACAAGTACATACAGAAAACTATTCATCTTTTTTTTTTATCTTTCTTTCTTGTGCTTTAGCAGTAGTGATTATGGACCAACACGTAGTGGTACTAATTCAAATTATCCATACAATGGTACCGATCATTCACCAGCATCATATGATAATAAAATTCATGTTTCGGAAATCTATGGAAATCGTAGGTTCAAATATATATAATTTTCCTATGATTAATCACTATGAAATTCATAAGTTAATGATGATATGACTTAGAAATCTGAAAAAAATCGTATTGAAAAATTGTAATTTATACATCTATTTATTTTTTTATAGATTCTGATGTTGAACTTGCACCGTCTGATAATCCAACAACATCGACATATTTTGCATCGATGCTTCGTTAGTTAATTAAATAAAAAGAAAAGAATTAAAACTATTTTTTTTTTTATTTAATATTTTTCTAGAACAAACAAAAGAATCTACACAACAATCAATATCAAAAATTCTAAATAATGATATAATTTTATCAATAAAAGATCGATCACCATTAAATCCACCACTATCAATATCATCAAATCGTACTAATTATCAACGTGATATATTACAAAAACATTCAAATTCATGTTCAACTATTTATGTTGATGATTCAACTGTTTCACAACCAAATTGGAAAGCTATGATTAAATGTGTTAGTATTGCTATACATTCACATATTGTACATCGAAAATCAAATAAAACAATGAATATATTTGATGAAAAACTTCATCCATTAACTGTATGTTAATTTTTTTTTGGAGAAAAAAAAAAAAATTTTGTATAGAATTTTTTTTTGTATTTTTATAGAAAGATTTTGTACCTGATGATTATGATCAACAAATACCTGAACAAAAAACAATTTATCGATTTATGAGAATACTTTTTACGGCTGCACAATTAACTGCTGAATGTGCTATTGTTACATTGGTAATAAAAGAATTATATATATATAAAACTCACGAGGGAATATTAATATATATTTCAGTTAGAACAAAATATGATTAAATTTTTTTTGTGGAATAATAATGAATGAAATTATGTTGTTTTTTCTTTTCTCTCAGCGCGGACACAAAAAAAATCGACTATTTCATAATTCGAAACTTTATTTAAAAGAATTTTATATATTCAAATGATGTCTAGTTACATCTTATTCGTTCGATACAATACTTTTTATTTGAAGATCGTATTATGTAATGTAGGAGACAGCTAGATTGCATTTGAAAAATGGACGAAAATTATCCAAACTATTGTTAATTCAGCAGTGAATTTCTTCATCGATTAATATCATATAGAAATTGCAAAAGATCTCTATCGACTGCAAGTGAAAAATATTTTGTTTGAAAAAATTTCGAATTTTTGATTTTGTAAGTCATATATCTCGAAGGTAGAACAATGAAACAAAATATTTGTTTTATCAATCGATAGCTTGTGAAGTTCCCTACAAATAATGTCTTAGGAGTTTTTCAATCTCATGCTTCCGTGATCGTTCTATAAATGGGTTATATATGACCCACTGTGGAGCAGTGACGTATCCAGGATTTTTCAGTAGGTTGAATCTCGATTTCTGACCATGGGATCCAGATAAAACTCATGGAGGATGGTGTTGGATCTAAATGATGGAATTTTATCAAAAAAAATTTGCACTCGGAGTTTGCGAAAAAAATTAGCATTTTCCTGATCCCCCCCTCTAAAATTTTTTGTTCTTAGGAGTATCATGGTTTTTAGAATTTTATAGGAAGCTACACCGAATTTCATCGATAGATTTCAAATCTCGTCAAAAAATATGCAATCGTTCCACAGTTATGACATTTTGAAATTATGCAAAAATTGTTTTCACGTGTAGCAAAAATTTAAAACGTCATAACTGTGGAACGGTTGCATATTTTTAGACGAACTTTGAAATCTGTCGATGAAATTCGGTGTAGCTTCCTATGAAATTCTAAAAACCATGATATTCCTAAGAGCAAAAAATTTTAGAGGGGGGGATCAGGAAAATGCTAATTTTTTTCGCAAACTCCGAGTGCAAATTTTTTTTGGTAAAATTCCATCATGTATATCCAACACCACCTTCCATGAGTTTTATCTGGATCCCATGCTCAGAAATCGAGATTCAACATACTGAAAAATCCTGGATACGTCACTGCTGTGGAGGGCTATATTACAATTGAAAACAAAAACAAGTTGTTTTATTTTATTTTAGGTTTATCTTGAACGTGTTCTAAGTTATGGTGAACTTGATCTATGTCCATCTAATTGGAAACGACTTGTACTTGGTTAGTTTTCATATTAAGAAAAAAAAATTTTATAAATTTTTTTTTTGTTTTGTTTTGAAGGCGCAGTTATGTTAGCATCAAAAGTATGGGATGATCAAGCAGTATGGAATGTTGATTTTTGTCAAATACTTCGAGATATAACTGTTAGTGAAATGTAAGTATTTAATAATAAATTAAAAAAAAAAAAAGAAAATTTTTTTAATTTATAGGAATGAATTAGAACGTGAATATGTTCAATTACTTCAATTTAATGTTAATGTTGGTTCATCAATATATGCAAAATATTATTTTGATTTACGACAATTAGCTAAAGAAAATAAAATATCATTTCAAGATGAATTATTAACTAAAGAAAAAGCAATTAAACTTGAAGCATTATCATTAATTAATAATCGTTTACAACAATCATTATCTATAACTAAAAATCAATCAAATCAAACTCAATTAATACCAAATTCTAATCAAATAACATCCCAACAACAGTCATTAGTTCCACTTCTTTCATTACGACGTTCAGCAAGTGTTGAATTTACTCATTCACCACGTAAATCTCTACTTATTATATCTTAGTACTAGATTTCAATTTTGCTCAAATTATATCTTTTTAAAATATCACATTCCTTGTGCGATAATTGTCTTCGTCTGTGGTTTTTTTTTGTAATCCCGTCATACACTTGCTTATTTGTCTTTTTTTTTTTTTTCTCTTTCGTCAGATCTTCAAGATCTCTTACTATCAATGATTTGTATATGTTTGTGTGTACGTATGTTTTTTTTTTTCTTGCAATAATCTTTTCTTTTTTTTTATTTAATATTATTAAAACAGTTCTTTCTTCTTTTTTTTTGGGCGATTTATTTCCTATGCGTTTATTTAATTGTATGTATATATATGTTTAGTCGCTTATTGTTGGCTATGAAATTAATGACAAAGTTCAAAAAACGTCTTTTTTTTTTTCTAAAAATATTAATTATATTTCATTCTTTAGTTTGTATGTATATGTAAGAAATAAGAACAAATTACAGATAATAACATATTATTTATTAATAATACATTCATTTTTCATTTCAGATATTTTAAGAAAATTATCAAGTTTGAAAGAAGAATTTTTTTGGTAAGATTATGTTTTTTATTTTTTTCTAACAGAGTTTTTTTTTTTAAGATGAAAATAGGTGATGGAGTTAGAATTTGAGGCGGAGTTCTTTTTGCCTACAAGAAGAATTCTCTTACAATTCTAAATATATTCCGTGTCATGTAAAAATTTTATAATCGCCTTTTGCAATTCAATATTTGTTGTAATGCTCGTAAAAAAAAATTGACATTTTATGTTCGTTTAGATGTAATTGACATGTTCCGAGAATTGAATACTAATCTGTTTTTGTTTCTTAGAAAAAATTGATTAGTTATATAAATCATTTGATTTAAAATAGTTAATATTAGGTCATAGATATCAGAAATTAAATTTGAATATTTGTTTAAGAAATTCCTGACCTTTTTATTTTTTAAATTTAAAAACCTTATATATATATAAAATATTCTGTATATAAGAGGTCATATTTTACACTACAAAAAAAAAATAGAGAAGGAAGATCAAGCAAAATAAAATGCAATCATAGTCAAATAATATGTAGATAGTTAATGAAGATACGTTACAGGTGCATTAAGAATTTTTAAATAAGGTGGATCTAATGTACTACTACCATGTTTAGGTACAATATGTAAACAACTATCATCACTTCTACATACATTATTATATGATGATAAATTCATTTGTTTTAATGTTGTTGTTGTTGTTGGTATATCCGAATAGAATGAATGTTCAGTATTTGTTTTTTGTTTATCACAACATGATGTTGTATTATGATGTAACGCTTGATGAACTTCACAATCAGGATTTTTACCTGTTGTTTGTATATAATATTTACGAGTTTCAATTTCTGATTTTGGTCGATAGATATAATTATCTTTACAATGTGATGTTTGATTTTGTGTATTTAAATGACTACGTTGATGTGCTGTTTCATTCCATTGATGATATTCATTATCAGGTGTTTGTGAACGATTTAATGTTGCTTGACGATATGCTGGTAAATGAGCATCACGCCATGGATAATCATTTTGATTTGTTGAACGCCATGGTTCACGTGGTAATGATGATCCTCTGAAGAAAAAAAATGTAGAGAAAAAGAAAAGAAAAGCTTATGTACTAATCTACCTATGTGATGATGTACTACGTGAACGTGAACGTGATTTTGGTGGATTATAATGTTGTTTATATGAAATCGGTTGTTCAACATATGTTGTTTTTTTTGTTACTGGTGTTGTTGGACGATAATAATCAATTGTTTCTGTTGATTTATCATGTTTTGAAGATGAATTTAAATTTAATTCACGTCGAATACGTTCAATTTTTTCATCGATTGTTTCATTTTTATATAAATAATGTTTTGATCTATCATATTCATCACGACGAGAATATCGTTCTTGATCACGTGTAGGTGGTGAAGGTGATCGTGATCGTGTATGTCGTTCAGGTGGTTGTTCTATCCATGGACAACATAATTCACAATAACCAGGACAATGTTTTATTGAACATGTTGGAGATGGAGACGGATGATGATGTACGACATGTTGAACTGATTGTGTAACTAAATAAACAATTAAAAAAAAAATTTTGTTTTTTTATTTCACTTTATTTGAAACAAAATACCATCAGAAATTTGAGATTTTCCCGTCTCAATTTTTTCTATTGGTTTTGTTATAAGACCATATGTTGGATAAACTAATGCTGTATTAAGAAGTGGTATTACTGGAGCTATTGTTGTTGTTGGTAACATATAATAACGTGTTGTTGTTGTTGTTTGTATTGGTACGGTTAGAGTTTCTTGAACAATAACCGGTGTAGCTAATGTTGCGGTTGGCATATATAACATATTTTTGATTTTTTGAATTTTCTAATATGAGAAGCTTTTTGTATAATCGATTATTGTATGAATGAATTTGTGTTATAGATGTTACAAGAAAAGAGCTGTTTGGATGTTTGTTCTGTTCCTAAGTTACGAACTTGTCAGACATATATTTTATACCACGAAGTTGAAAGGAAAAAGAATCTTATTTTTCTTTCTCTCGGTTTTTTTTTTGTTGTTTCTATATAAAAGAAAAACCAAAGAAACAAAAGTTTTTTACCTTGTCACATAGACATACAAAAATATATATATATATATCTTTAAATAAATAATATTCCTCTCGATTATATTGAGTGTCAATAAATAATTTGTTGAACATGAATATATCGAATGCAGGAAAAGAGAAAAAGTCAATAGTACTCTGTTCTTATTATCCTTATCATGGATAGTGAAGACTGAAAGGTTGATAACAAAGATAAATAAATATTTTCATAACCTGTTGGCATTTGTGGACATTGACAGATGTTATGTTATGTTCATTTAAGACACAGCAGGGATAATAAAATAAAAACATGTCAATACTTCTGCTCTTGTTTTTTTTTTTTCTATATGAAATTTTATTAAAAACAAGATTCGTTTATTATTGACAACATTTTTATATTTCTTTTCTTTTTTTGTTTTGTAGGTATAAATGATACTAAATCAATGAATGATAATCAATGTTTATTTAAAGAATTCTATAAGTAAATTTTTTATTTTCAGATAATTATAAGTTTTAAGATCAAATATGGCTGAACGTGGTGGAACTCGAGGTGGCTTTGGTACACGAGGCGGTAATTATAAAAAAAATTTATCTAAGCAAAGATTTTTCATATGTATATTCTAAAAACTTTAGGACGTGGTGGTGAAGGTGGCCGTGGTCGTGGCGAAGGAGGTTAGTTTTAGAAAGAAAATTTTTTTTATTTTTTTTCAAAATTTTGTTTCGTATGTAAAGGTCGCGGTGGTCGCGGTGAAGGTCGTGGCGAAAGTATGTTTTAAAAACAGCAACAACAAAAAAAAAAGCTTTATTTTAATATAAATTTATTGATAGGTCGTGGTCGTGGTCGTGGTCGTGGTCGTCGTGGTCAACGTCAAAAAGAAGATGCTAGTAAACAATGGGTACCTGTCACAAAATTAGGTCGATTAGTTAATGATGGTAAAATTCGTTCACTCGAAGAAATCTATCTATTTTCATTACCAATCAAAGTTTGTTTCATCATTTTCGAATGCTTCGTTGTTTTTAACATAAAGTTTTTTTTTTTTATACTTAGGAAGCTGATATAATCGATCGTCTATTACCTGATCTTAAGGATGAAGTACTTAAAATAATGCCCGTACAGAAACAAACACGAGCTGGTCAACGTACTCGTTTTAAGGCTATTGTTGTTGTTGGTGATGGTAAAGGACATATTGGTCTTGGTGTTAAATGTTCAAAAGAAGTCGCAACAGCTATTCGTGGTGCTATTATTCTTGCTAAACTTTCCGTTATTCCTGTACGACGAGGTTATTGGGGTAACAAAATTGGTTTACCACATACAGTGCCATGCAAAGTATGAACGTTAGATTTATATATATATATGAAATTAGTTTATTTTTTTAGGTCACAGGCTCTTGTGGTAGTGTACTTGTACGTTTAATTCCAGCACCTCGTGGAACGAGTCTTGTATGTGCTCCTGTACCAAAGAAACTTCTTCAAATGGCCGGTATTCAAGATTGTTGGACAGCAGCCAAAGGATGTACCGCCACTCTTGGCAATTTCGGTATGATTCTTATAAATTATTTTTTTGTCATAACTTTCTTTTTTTTTTTTTTTTAGCTAAAGCAACATATGCTGCAATGGCAATGACTTATTCATATTTAACACCTGATTTATGGAAAGAAACTATATTCACTAAAACACCATTTCAAGAACACAGTGATTTTCTTGCTAATGCACAAAAGAAATTAACTGTTGGCGTTGGTGATAAACATTATTAATAAAAAAAAAAAAAAGAAAAAAAGAAAAAGCACCCAAAAACTAAAATTTTCGATCGTTTTTATTTGTTTTCAAATGAGCTATGTCTCATATAGAGAAAAAATAAATAAATAATAAGAACAGCATGTGTGTTTTTTCTTTTTGTTATTTGATCGAATAAAATAAAAATAAAAGAGAATAAAAGAACGACAAAACAGACACACATATACATATATGATGTTTACCGTATCAAGTTAGAAAAGAATAAACATATCCACGGACGGATAATGTTATTGCGCAATATGATTTGTTTTCAATTCTAGTAGATATTATTTAACTTAAAATAATGCCCGGGCCATTTTCGCCATCCATTGGCAGGCCCGTAGCACAACCGGATGCGCCACAGAGATTTGTTCCTGTCGCTTGTGAAAAAAAAATGTGACCGTAGTTAGGACGCATTTTCTGAGGCGTCAATGACACTCAGTTTTTTTTTTTAATATTAATATCGATATATTTATTTGTATGATAGTTTTTTTTATCATAAATTTTTATGCAGAAAAAATTGATATAAGATGTTTCATGTCTATGGAAAGAATGTATTCATTGGCATTTTAATAGATGTTTAAAATAAAAAGGAATATTCAAATAGATCCATCTTTTCAAAGAAATTAGTAAAATCGAGTTTGTAGAGTGTTAAAAACTCGCAGATGTTTCAACGAAAGTATCTAGGCAGAGATTATGAAAGAAATAAAATATAAGCCATGTGTGGTTTCGAGATTCATAGAAAATAAGGCATAACGAAAGTCAAATTAAATATCAAAGATGTGAACAAAAAGATCGTTTGCATATAAATTATGCGTCGGATCATATATGAAATACTATGGTGATTGTCATTATTGTTTTCCAACAAAAACAAAATAAATAAAATAAAATAAATCAATTGTTGTTGCTATATGCGATTAATGTTGTTCATCCAAATTAGATTTTCCATACTGAGAGAAGTAAATAGACTAGAATAAAAGAAAGGAAAGAGTATACATTATAGTTTTTATCCGAAACAAAATAAAAGAAAAAAAATATTCATTTCTTGTGAGTTGCTTCTCGAAGCTTATCACGATAACTCATCGATGTATCATTCTTCTGTATAGAGATATCAAAGATAGTGCGGCAGGAATTTCAAGTCACACTACTCGCTCTATCGTTGATACACTCCCTGAAGAAACTCGACTGGTTGTTTACGATCCATAGTAACACTACTTTTTTGTTCGCATGTAGGGAGGTGGACTTGTAAAGAAAGTCCACAAGTAGCTAATATGTTGTCTTGGATCGATGACTTGTTTGCTTTAATAGATTGTCATTATATATTAGAGCTTGTTAGTTTGCTGATGATGGTATTTTGGATAACTTGTAATGAATACTGGTTAGATTAATTATTGAACTATTTCACTTGAAAGACCACTTAAATATACATAAACAGATGTACTTTGATTATTGACCACGACACTTCCGGATTTTTTTGCTCATATTGCGAATTAAGTCGTCCATACGTTCCTTATTCTGATGACGACCAGCGTAATCTACTATGACTTCTCGTCGCTCAAAATTGAGATAAAATAGTATTCGATAACCTTTTGGTAATTTGTATTCCCATATGCCAGTATCCATTCGTGTTTGAACTAACTTGCCTGAGATGTTTTCCGTTGGTGTCGATTCCAAGTGTTGTTTCATCGTCTGACAATCTTCAGGAAATTTTTCTTTGAGCGCATCCAAGTCGTCTTGAACATGATGATTACTTGCGACTAGCTTCCATAACTGCGACGTACCATTTGATGTTTTACCATTACTTTATCAGAAGAAAAAGCATCTAAGAAAGCGATTTCATTTGATTGTTACTTACCTTTTTTTGTGTTTTGTTGTTTTTGGGTTCAGTGCCATTTCTTAGCATACTGTGAGCTTTTCTCTCCTTTTTATACTTCAACAACATGATTCATCCTGTTTACGACTTTGCTTCTTCTGATTGCTGATGTAATGCATGAGTTAGTGACAATATTTTTATTCGTAAGATGTCAAAGCTCAATGACTCATACTTTGAACATCAGACTTGGAAGTTGCTAATTCACTTTGAGTATATTTATGGTGCTATGAATTTTATTGAATGAAATTTTATAGTAATCTTAATTATTATTTATTATCAACTATTTTGGATGTTTTATTCGATAATCGTTGATATTCATTCTACGCATGAATATTTTAATGAACAAAAGGGAAAATATTGAATAGATTTAAAGAAAAATTAAAACAACTAAGACATTATTGTAGACTAAATGTTAATAATGATGATTTAGCTTGTCAAAACTGTTGGAGTCCCATTTTGAATTTAAGTTTAAATAATATTATAAAATATGTTGTGGAGAATAACAAACACATTTTTTGAAAAAAATCATACAATGATACTCTATTTACGTTACAATGTTCATTAGTTCTAACTTCTTGTTTCAATATAATATATATGTAGATGATTTTTTGAAGAACCAACTAAACTTTTTCTTACATCAAACTCATTTACTACTCTATGTATGTGGATATACGGAGAATTTTTGTTAAAGATAAATCAAATGTTTATGATACATTAATTATTGGTGTTGTTATAGTCTGTTTTCGTTTTATTGATTAGTCGAAATTCTAATAACATCACTAAATATCATACATTATCAAAGAATGAAGAACATCTTAACAAGTGAATGATCACTTCAGATCTGATAAAAATTATTCATCAAGATAAAGTAACAAATGATCAATATGTAAAAGCGTTTTCATTTGATTTTTTGTTTAGATACATTATTCATTTTACTGATAAATTAATAATCTCTTCCTGTTATTATCTATATCCGATTATTT